ATTCGAGAGGTGGCAGAACAGGAAATGGCTACTTTGTATTGATATTTCTTGTACCCCCAAAAAGATAGAAGAGGACACTCCCACTGAAATAGTGATACATAGTGATAAACTACTTTCTATCTTTTTTTGGGCTGCTATAATATCACATATGGACTTGTGATTTTCCAGCTAGCCAGATTAGATTACAAGAAAGATCCAGAGGATCTCTGATTTAGTCTTGCACTGACTAAAGAGTGGCATGGGTCAAATTAAAAAGATACTGTACACTTATGGCCCAACTAACAGTAATGGGATGAACTGTCTCCTATAACTCGTTGGTTATATAATAAGTTATATAATATATCATGAAATAATCCCAATTACAACTGTTGTATTGTATCATGAACTAATCTCAATTATATATATATAACTGTTAGTTGGGCGAACTAACTGTACTTCATCTGTTGGATGAACTCTTGCAGCGAGGTGCTTTCGGTGCTGTCCCAATTAGTTTGAAAAAAACTGGATGATTATAGCACAAAAATGAAGTTAACTGGGGTTTAGTTTTCATTAGATATATGATATATGTAGATATATCAATATGACTATAATTTTATAGTCTTCATGATAGCTGGGGTATCAAAACAAAACACAATGCCCACAGATCTTTGATCAGCGTATCCACGGTGGTGCCCCCCAGTGAAATCTTAGTTGGTTTATAGACCGGAATCATAACTTAATACAAACTACATCTACAGAAAAGTCTGAAGTTGATATCATCTCACGCATATATGGGGTATAGTTCATTGATTTATATATCTGCCATGAACCATAGTTAAACTATAGTTAAACTACTTATACTTGATCCACCCAACTCAGCGATTCCAAACTGCGGCACCACGACAGTTCGGTAACTATCGGACTTGGGGGCTGACTTGATCCCCCCAGTTCGCAGCTTCCCCAAGTCCAATGACTGGATGTGCATCCATATAGGGATAGATAATATATAGGGATATTATGGTTGGCTAGTTATATCCCATGAATATCCCATGAATATAGTATATCCCACGTTTTTCCCATAATTATATCCCACTGGTCAGGTCAGGTCACTAATACTTGGCTCCGGAGAAATTGCCACGGCCGCCCAAGAATACCTTGGACGGATTCCCCCCAGGAGCGAACAGCGCTGGAAGAATATGGTAGGTAGTGGATGGAGGATGAAATGTTCATATTTTGGTTGATGAGTTTGAAAAGGGCCCATTTACCCACAAAAAAAGGTGATTTACCTATATGACAAATGATACAAATGGATAGACATGGTGATTTTCCTTAGCTATGTTAGTTTACTGGAGGATAAAGGTTAGCGTTCCGTAGTCAAACATGGCTGCCTGGAAAATCCGCGGAGGTTTTGAGCTGGGAAAGTCATATAAATTGTGTGAATTTTATCATAGCTATGTTAGTTTACAGGAGGGTAGCTGCCTTCTGATGTATTCCAACCCGGCAAGAATTTGCTAACCACGAATGATGGGAGACATATAAAAAATATTGACTGAACATTGTTGATCAGGAGATATGTTTTTGCAATAGAAAAAACATTGTCGAATAGCGAACATATGAAGAAATGATCCAAACTTATTCGCTGATAAAGTGCAACGTCAGAGTGTACCAGAGGCTACCAGAGAGTTTCGGGTCGGAATTTGACCAGACTGTAGGAACCCCCAAGGTGTCCATGAAAATGTTCAGGACCAACGAACCAAGATTTCGGGAATCAGACTTAAACTTTGGGCCCGAAATACCAGTCATGGATGTCAATTATAAGTCACCCATTTATGGAATGATAATCCCATCTATATACATAGAAATTACTGGTAACGGGCTTTAGGTCTACTTTCTTTTGTCTCTGGTTAAATTGCCAGGGTTTTTATGTGTCATGGTCAACACATGAGTTATTTCCAGTGATTGTCATACCGTCGCACCAAATAAACAGTATAAGATATCATGTGCTTGGTGGTTTGGAACATTTTTACTTTCCATATATGGGATGTCATCCCAACCCCATTGACTAATATTTTTCGGAGGGGTAGGTCAACCACCATGATATCATGGTCAGTACAAGGAAATCCAGTCATGGTGGGACGATCATAGCTGTCCCCAATCAAAGATGCCGCCCCAGAATTGTCCTTTGTCAAGCTTTCTACAATCATGTAAACTCAGTCTCCTAGAATTAGATATTGGCCGTTTGGATATTTGATGTTAGATATGATATAACCCCAAAAAAATGGATGATTTCATGGTAGTTTTCACGAGGCAAAGATCATCTTTGCATGTTCTTCCTCTCAAAAAAAGGATCCGGTGTACCCATAGGTGGTGCCTCTGTAAATGCCGCAGCGACACACGAAGCTGAAAGAAGCTGCGGGCTGGAAGGGCGCTGGGTTTATCAACAATTTGCACCTATGTTTGGTGTGGCAACCAAGTTCGATAGCTAAGTTGGTTTATCTCCTATAGTGATAGATAGTGATAGTATATTATAGCAATATCAAGTAATATCCCCATGAAGTTGGTTTATAAGATAGTTTATTATTATACTATTCTAATACTAATACTCATACTCATACTAATACTAATTCTAATACTAATACAAATACTAATGCTAATACTATACTAGTTCACTAATATTACCATTTAATGTTGATTACACATCCTGTAGGTAATGGAGTTCGTGAGCCAATAGAAATAACTTGGCGGCAGCACCTAGTACAAGTTTGTCTTTGTTCAAGGGTTTTGGTGGGGAAGCCCATGATGAAACGGGTTCAAGTTTAGGAAACACCCAGATGCATCCAGTGATGCGAACATGGCTTGGACCATCAGGCGGCCATCAGAATGATGGACTCTGGTCATTTTAGAGCAACACATCTTATTATGGGGACTCAAATTTGGACCCGTATGAAACTTGACCCGTTACTTTCCTACCAGGAAAAACATTGCACGCTGGCCATGAGTTGCAATCCTGCTCGGGGAGCATCCTGAAATTACTGTAATTGATTCAGTTGGGATTGCTTACGTCTGGTCCACAGCCACATACATAAGAGGTCATAAGTCAAATGTACGATGTTTCTTTCAAGATAGATGTTTTTTGTTTGTTTTCAATCTACCCACGAGATGTGTTTTGGATATTGTTCTTTCACCCATGTTTCCAATCTTCAAAGCTCAAATCGTTACAACCTCACAAAAGTGCAGTATTTCTTCCATGCAGTATTAGTCTATACTCTGCACCATCCAGTTTTGGTGTACCTCAGTTTTACCATCTTTTACAGAAAGGTCTACTCCTGCCAAATTGCCTCTCCATGTACAAATGGCGTTTGCTAATTGTTAGCATCAGCTAGATCACATTATCACATTTACAACTGTCACAAAATTGGATGTATAATTATGGAGGTACTGTACCATATAAGGCCATATTTTGTGGGGATATCCCCTTACATAGGCCTTATATAGGCCTTATATATGGTAGGTACCTCCATTTTAGGATCCTGAAATTCCCATTGACATAATCCGCTGCCAACCATGTTTTCTCCAATATCGAGGGAATAACATGCCCACCTGACCTCAGCTAACGGCTGGTAAAAATTAAGGAGCTATGCAAGGAAAGACAATAGGGATTCCTCCAAATTCGGAACCCCATTGAATTCTGTTGTTCCAGATATTCATATTATTCATATATTAATATACACATATACAAATATATACAAATATATGTCTGTGTATATATATATGTAATTATATGTATATATACATATATAATCTGATTTAATATTTATACATAAATATGTGTGACATGTAATATAATTATAAGAAAGCACACCTGGATGAATCTTCTATTGGAAACCCTCAACCCTCACAGCACCAAGGCATGAACCTGGATCCCTCTTACCTGGTGAACATGAAGGCCTTGGAGATGGCTGCAGCGGGTGATATGGTTTAAACCTGCTGAAGGGTGTTATTGGTTTTAGAAGCATAACATATATATATATATATATATATCATAGTATTAGTGATATAAATCAGGAGATATATCTATAGCGAATGATTAGGGTTGCAACCTGCTTAATCCATCCAATGTGTTCTTACTTAAAATTGTCGTAAATGTACTATTTGAGCCATGGTCGAAAGCTGGACCGTATGGACATATTTGGGTGGTGGATCTACTATTTTGGGGATTGTACATTACAATCCCATTGGGGAATCCTTATCAACCAACCAATAGAACCATTTCACAACCAAATTGTTGAGGATGCTCAAATGGTATGTTTACCCCAGTAAAAGCAGTAGGGGAACCTTGGGTAGGTAGTTTATTACTTCCTTGTCTAAGAGTTCGAATTGGTTATTGGAAGATGTAAACCAGTGAAACAGTGAAACCGACATAGGTATGATACACACTATTCTAAGCATGGTTAGTTTCCCAGACTACATTGATGAGATAGATATTGAACTCCAATTTCGATGAATGATTTATCAGTTATAGATGACTACAACTACTTATGTCGCTTACGTATCCTGAGATGCGTATCCGAGTTTCAAGGCTGGCCATTAACGTTCCACCTTGTTGAGGAAGAGCAACCATGGAAAATGTCCCATTTATATAGATTGTTTACCGACAAACATTGTGAATTTCAATATATTAGCAAGTTATGTATGGAGTATAGTGTGCCTAGAAATTTATATATGTCTTTGTATATGTATAATTATATTTAATGTCTAATTATATATATATAATTTAATTGTATGTATAATTATACGTATAATATTATATATATATATACACATTCATATGGTGCAGAATCGCTCAGGCCCCCCAGGGGATGGTCATGGTCTCTGAGTAGGCTCTTTTGGACTTCTCCCTCCTGTGAATGTGGACTTGGCTCTGTTTTCATGCCCTGCTGTCCTTCTGAGTTATGGGCTCTCTTGAACCGTTTTCCATGTGGATCTAGACTTGGATTTGGTGGAGTTTCTGTGTCAGAGATTTGAATGATGTTTGCAATTTTGGGGTGCAGACATGCCCAGAGCGAGAAGAATTACTTCTGCACTTGAACTACATTTGGTTTCGAATTGTATTGGCATGAGTTTCAGCGTGTGATCCATGTAGCTTGAGCATTGGTCTTGAATTCTCTGATGCCTCAGCCATTCGCGCAAGACCTAATGGCCTGCCAACGGCACTACGAACCAAGCCTTGGACTTCGTTTCTGGGAACTGGCAAAGCCTCGGTCGCCAGCCCTTGATAGATTCACTCCTCAGCGGCTCGCTTTGAACCAGACACATGGCTTCATGAAAACCGCTGCTGGCTTCCTTGGTCTTCGTTGACTTGGACAATTGGACTGGGAGTCTCTGACTCTAGTGCTTGATCAACCGTGAAGCAAGAGTAGTGACGTGCACAAGCAGCAACTACTGTACCAAGCCTGGTTTTGTATGACCGCACCCTTACTGGCAAGACAGCCTTGTTTGTCCAAAAGCATTTGACACAACAGTTGAAAGCAGGCCCTGGCGCATGCAGTGCAGCAAGGCAGATTGCCTGGCAGTAAGAATTGCAAGCCTGGAGGGGAAAATTGCTGCGGCAACCTTGATCCTCCCCCATACCATTATAGGGGTGGGTGGGGCCAGCAACACAAAACACGGAACCCATTATATACACCACAGATCCGGAATGGCTCGGAACCCCAGGCCCAGTTGGATTCTTAAGCCCCAAGGCCCCAACTGTTCCCCCTTCCCAGGATGATACGCGCTGGTTGGCAGACAGCCCTCTGGCGGATTTCCTGCAGTTCTCTGAGAAATCCGATCCGTTCTTCGTGGTGCCTCGGGCGTTTGTTAAAATAATGGTGCCCTGGGGGGCCCTGGGGGGCCCGGAAGGTTGCCGAAAGGTGATTTCTCTGTTTCTTTAGGTTTCCAAATAGGAAAACAGGTTATATAGGAAAACGAAAGAAAATCATATATATATATATATTTATATTTATATTAGGACCATTTCAAGTTTCACTCTTGATTCTCATGCAGCTCTATAGCTGATTTACATGTTGTTGGCATTGCTTCATCTCCTAATCTTGGTTGCATCTCTCGACATCCGACCACCTAAGGAGTTCCCCAGCTTGGCGAAGTGGGTGTATTACTCGATGACCTAGGGATACCTAGGGTTTGTATGGATTTATATGGGTGAGGTATATGGTTATTGTTTATAGCTATAGTATGCTATAGTTGAATCGAGGTATGTTGTGAACCAACTTACAAGTGGGGGGCATCACCTTGTAGCAAATAGGTTCTGGGTACAGATGTACAGTAAGCAACATTATTTGAGTCGTAACTGGGGTTATACATGCTTTCCAACTAGGGTAAACCACATGGGTGATATTATATTTTGACATGTTTGATCACGATTTACATTCCTTTTATAATATAAGTCGGTTCAATACATTTACTAAAACTACTGGAGAAATCAGCATGTGTGGATTGCGTAGAACCATTTAAAACTTATGATTGTCCAATTAGTGCTGCGGAACCTCCATTTACAACCAATATTTTGATGTGAACTAGGATTTGCCAGGGTTCTGACCCATAGCCTGTCGGTCAATTCAGGGTTTTATTGGGGACTTGCCCGTCGGATTGACGATGATCAAATTCTAAGTCTGAGAGCTGCTGAAATGCCCATATTTTGTCCCGTACGTATACGTAAGTAATCCTCAAATCCCAGTAAATTGCCTATAGTTTTCCCCGTGTTTTTGTGTTTTTATGTTTTTGCGAAAAGAAAAACAAAAACCTGTTGGCTGAATCCTAATCGTAGCTTTCAAAAACAAAGTGTTTATTGTTACATGTATCCTAATCAAATCTTCCCATCTGTTCCAATTAGATCCTGATGTGTCCCAATTCAATTTCATTTTTCCATAAAATGGTCATTTTCCTGATGAAAACATGGTAACTTTATTGAAGATGTTCCTATATTTTTCCCGGGGAAAGCTGAACACATCCCATTTTCCAACGCGTGAATTCTAAGGTGCCCTCCTGTAAGGAACCGCAGGCGTCGCCGTCAAACCCTATGACGGCCACGCTGCAGGTGCCGCCGTTGAAGTCTCCTTAATTGATGTTACCGCATAATGGAAAGGGTTTTCCCATCAATATGGGTACCCCCAAATGGATGGTTTATAATGGAAAATCCCAATCTAAAGTGGATGATTTAGGGGTACCTCCATTTTAGGAAACCTCCATATGTTGTTTTGAAATGGATGATAGTATAGTCTATTACGTATATATTGTAAAAACCTATTAAATCAATATATACGGTTCGAGTATTCTATTATATGTTATAGTTAAGGATAGGGATCAATACATGATAGTGATAGTGATCATTACGAATGTACAGTGATAATATACACAATCAACTATAATCATCTCCCCCAAACACTTAATGGTCTCCCCCTTTCTTCCTAATAATAAACACCTGCAGGATTTTTTAGTATTAGGGCATTATTAGGGTGTATTAAAAATTGGGGTGCGAAGCTTCCCCCCAATATTAAAGGGGCTACGCCCCCTGCCGCCGACCCCTGGTCTAGGGGCCTGGAACGTAAGAAGAAAGGTTTAGTGGTGACCTGTTCTTGTGTTGGAAATGTATGTGTGTATTTCTCTTCTGACCCAGCGATGTCCGAAGCGGATCTGCACGTGCTTTCTGGGGCCTTGGCCTTCGGGGGTACGGAGACCCTGGGCGCTGGTGCGTTCCGGGGGATCAGCAGATCAGCTTTGGAGGTCGCAGGGTTGGAAAGGGAGGAGGAGAACAACAACAGCAGCAGCAGCAACAACAAGAAGAAGAACAACAACAACAACAACCACAACCACAACCACAACCATAAACCAAAACGAAAACCAAATCCAAAACTACAACAAGAAGAAAAAGATCAACAACAACAAGAACAAGGCCAAGAACAACAAACAACAGCAACAAGAAAAAGAAGAGGAGCAACAACGACAAGAGCAAGAACAAGAACAAGAACAACAACAGCAACAACAACAACAACAACAACCACAACAACAAGAACAACGACAACCACAACAACGGCAAGCACAAGCACAAGCACACCGACAACAACCACAAGGCGCCGCAAAACCACTTTTTCTCGGACGCGCTCCCCCTGCAGATGGCTGGGGTCGGCGGATATATATATATATATATATATATTAACCATAGAATCACAGTTTTACCTATTAAAAATGGTGATTTTCCTTCTTTTATCCAGTTAGCCAGTTAGCTCAAGCCCAGGTGGGCCTAAGGATTTGGTTGCTGATATAGACCCAAATAAACTTCCCATTCGGAGATATTCCCAATTGGTTGCTGTATCTCCAACACAGATTCTCATTGAATGACCATCTAGAATCTATAGTGTGGTTACATCATGACATATGACATGATAGATGAGATTTTGATGAGCATTACATGAAATATAACATTACACAAAAAATATATGTATAATGGTTAATTCCAAGCATTTCCATGCTCATTAGTCTGTGGGATTTTTCTAACGCTTGGATGGTCTCATGATATTTACTTAGGGGATCACCCCAGCATGGTCCTCCAAAGTCATAGTTTTTTTTGAAACAAAGGGACATATTCATTCTCATATACCCATTCAGAATCCAATGATCAAATGGGGATCCTCGCTGAGAGATATATATATATATACGTATGAATACTGCAATACCACAGTTGTAAGGGCACCATATCCCAACTTAAAGGTTCTTTTTTTCTACCATGGTGATACCCTCGCCACAGCAAAACAGCAGGGCCCTGAAGGACGGACCGAGTCTCCGGGCAACGGCTCCCACTGCCTAACGTTGCTTTCTGAACCTACAAGAAAACTAGCTCTCTTCCAGCCGTCAAGGCTCACAAACGGTGCCCTCGCCACAGCAAAACAGCAGGGCCCTGAAGGACGGACCGAGCCTCCGGGCAACGGCTGCCAAACTAGCTCTCTTCCAGCCGTCAAGG